GGTATGTGCAGAGACTCTCCGCCAAGAGGGCTTCTCGGACAGGATTGTGATGTGTACAATCGATCGACATTTGCCCTACGACAGGCCCAAACTGAGCAAGGTTGGTGCTTACCCAGGAATTTCTCCAAGGCTTCCTTGAGGACACTGGGTGGCTGCTCCACTTTTCCATCTTATCTCTGAGCGTTGAGCCTCTGTGATGCTGTCTTTGAAATGAAACAGAATTCCTTTTCATGCAGTCCATGGGTGTCCATGTAACTTGTCACTCATCTGTCAACTTGTAAAGCATTGCCATGACTATTATCAGGTTGGCATTGGAGGGAGGATTCCATGCATACCTTCGGCCAGAGTGGGATCTCATATTTCTACAACCTAGTTGGTGGATATGATTTATGACACAGACAGAAGGGAGGGGATAGAGAGGTCAAACACAATTAAGCGGAAATCAGTTTCGGCTCCGCAGAAGAATATGCCAGAATGTTAATCCTAATAAATGAATGGATTTCTTTTGAACTTTGTCTTGAGGCTTGTAAATTAATTGGGTCATCTTCTGGGAACTTCACAGAGAGCCAAAACTGATTTCCACTTAATTGCGTTTGAACTTTACCCCTCTATCCCCTCCCTTCTGTCTGTGTCATAAATCAGATCTACCAACTAGGTTGTAGAACTATGAGATCCGACTCTGGCCGAAGGTATGCATGGAATCCTCCCTCCAGTGCCCACCTGATAATAGTCATGGCATCTAAGGGCAGAGTTAATATTGAATCTTTGCTCTTTTTCCTAAAAATGACTCAAATTAATATAGAAGCTACCACCGGGGTGGGATCCTACCGGTGTAACGACCTGTTCACTTCACACGCATGCAGTTACCCATCGCTCCAACAGAGCGTTTAAGAGCTGTGGACTTCAACTCCCAGAATTCCCCAGCCAAGCTGGCTGGGGAATTCTGGGAGTTGAAGACCACAGCTCTTAAACTTGCTGAGATTGAGAAGCACTGCCATAGACCATTACACCTTCTTAGGGAGACCCTTCAGGTGTAGGTGAGATTACAACTCTCAGAACCCTTCCAACACCTCTGGAAGGCGCTTAAGTAGTATCTAAGCATAAAACTGACCTCTGCTTTCAGTCAATGGATTCCCACGCTGACCAGATCGCTCTGCGTCCAAAAGAATTCTTCCGCACGAACGACATTGAGGTCCTGACTGAAATGCAGGTGAGGGTCTGTCTCTGTGGAGAGGGGGGGAGCTTCAAAGAGGGCCTGGATCTCTTTGTGGGACGTGTGAAGGAAGAGTCTGTGTGGACATAAAAAAGGACTTTGTTATTAATCCAGAGATGGTTTGGTTTAACTCACACTTTCGAGAGCTGCTCTATTGAACCAGGACCTGTGGAGGGAGGTCATGTCACCTGGCCTGGTTTCATCTCTGAAAACAGTGCAGGATGGGTGCGTTTGGCTCCTTGAAGCCTCTTCCCAGCATGGACTCTTGTTCTGACCCAGCTCCCCAAACAACACAAACCCTTTGAAGTGAACTGAAAAATTCCTTTACTAGGAGCCCCGGCAAAACGTTTCTCTCTCACTGCAGGCTAACAAGTCTGTCTGGCAGGGAGATGAATAGTTGTCTGCTACATCTATTCATCTCCACCCCCTGCCTTTGATCCCCAGAGCTAGGATGGGGCTTCACTAGCAGTGGTGGCTCTTCTGTCCCAAGGACCAGCCCATAGATTTCCACTGCTCTCCTCTCCTCTGCCGTCTGCGAATCCACATGTCAGGCACTGGACCCAGCTGTTCCTCCTCTTCCTCATCAGCCACCTCCAGACCAGGGGGCTGTTGACTCTCCATCTGAGAGCTGATGGATGGCCCAGGCTCTGCCTCTGCCCCCCCCCCCTCTGTCACTTCTATTCATATCCGCCCCCTGCCTTTGATCCACAGAGCTAGAGTGGGGCTTCCCTAGCAGCAGTGGCTCTTCTGTCCCAAGGACCAGCCCATAGATTTCCACTGCTCTCCTCTCCTCTGCCGTCTGCGAATCCACATGTCAGGCACTGGACCCAGCTGTTCCTCCTCTTGCTCATCGCCCCCCTCCAGACCTGGGGGCTGTTGACTCTCCATCTGAGAGCTGATGGATGGCCCAGGCTCTGCCTCTGCCCCCCCCCCCTCTGCCAGCTCCATTCCCACTTCCCCCTCGGGCCTCCCATGCCGCTGCCGCCTCCTCCTCCTCCTCCTCTAAATTAGCTGCTGGAGGGGCTGGCAGCCGACAGGCCACAACAACTCTGTAGGTGTGTGTTGGTCTGATGGGGAAAAAAAAAACAGCTAAGAAATTACTGTTAATGGCTCGTCCTTCCTGTTTCAGGTGGTGGCGGTGGATGTCAAGAACAAGACGGCCATTTTCAAGGATGGGTTTAAGATGGAGTACAACAAGCTGCTGCTGGCAACAGGGAACACGTAGGTGGCCCTAAAAGATTTTGCACCAAGTGTTGAGGTCTTGTTTTTCAGGTGGAGGAGGTTTTAATGCACCCCAAATGTGTTGGAGAGAGACTGGCTGAACCAGGGGGAGGAGTCAAGTGGGGAATTAGTCTGGAAACTTTAATTAATCACAAGAAGGCAAGGCCTGATCCCCATTGAATGCCACTGAACCTTCTCTAGTCTGTCCTGGGTGCAAAGTCTGAGAAGATTCCTCTGTAATAGATGTGAGTAATGAAGGAGCTAAGTGGACTGTTCACGGGTGGATCTGGTTGTTTGGGTCTGACAGACCGTTTCAGAATGTTGTGGTATCTTCAAGATGAATCAGTGGGTTTCAGCCTAAGATTCCATGGCTTAGAAATTGAAATTAGTTTTGTGGAATCTGATGAAATTTCATGGAACTATGGAGAAACTTTGGCACAGTTAACCAGTGGAACAGCTTGCCTTCCTAAACCATTTTAGACCATGTAGGACAGTGATGGAGGACCTTTTCGGCGCTGAGTGCCCAAACCGGAACACACATGCATGTGCGTGCACTAGAGTGCTGGAAACCCTAAGACCAGCTGGCCAGCACATGCATGCTTGTTTTTTGGCTGTTTTGGGGCCATTTTTAAGCTGTTTTCCAGTGCTCTGGTGCCTGCAAAGACTAGCTGGCTGGCATGCCAGAAAGCAGAAGAGCAGATGGCGTGCCCACCCACAGAGAGGGCTCTGCATGCCACCTCTGGCACATGTGCCATAGGTTCGCCATCACGGGTGTAGGATGA